TTTTTGTTTCTTTTTTATTGACCTTATGAGCCAAGAAATGGGTTAATGATAAAGGTTTCTGACACACACTCTCTGCATGACCTCTTTTATCTACTTTTATTTTATTTTTATTTATTATTAATTTTATCTATCATTGTTGAATAAATGACATAAAAAATGCTCTTCAGACTGGCTGCTCCTTCAGGCCTCTGCTGAGACAGTGTTGGAGGGCGAGCCCCTCTTCCTCAGGTGCCACGGCTGGAGGAATCTGAATGTCTACAAGGTGACTTACTTCAAGAATGACAAAGCCCTTAAGTACTGGTATGAGAACCACAACATCTCCATTACCAACGTCACAGCAGGGGACAGTGGCACCTATTACTGCATGGGCATAATTCAGCAGATACTCCATACTTCTAATCACCTCAACATTAAAATAAAAAAAGGTAAGTTGGTGAAGTAAAAGTAAGGAGTTCATAGCAGGGGAAAGGAGAAAGAGCATTTGAGCCTAAAGTGATAGCAGCTATAGAATGGGGGCAGCTGTGATCCCTTGGAAAGTCTATTAGACTTGCAATGAGGGGACCAGGGGTAGAGTGTATCCCTCAGTCTGTCTTAGATTCCTTACTTGTTCAATGGCAACAGTGATACCTGCTCACATGGAATTTTTATAAATATTAAATGTAATATTTGTGAAATGGATTGTTAAATACTAGCCAAGCAAAGTCATCTGTTGTTCCTGGGGAGAAATTTATATTTAACAAATTGAAAGAGAGTTTCAAAGTTGAAGGAACAAAAGCTATAAAGAGCTTGAAGAGTCTATTCTAGCCTAGGAGGGATGGGAAAGGAAACCAACAAGTCAATAGGCTGTGTGCCTGTGAATTAGGAGATGAGAGAGAGGGCTTGATGAGGAAAGAATAGGCAGGTGGGCTACCTCTCTAGCCAATGAAAAAGGCTGCTCTTTCCAAACTTCATATAAAAAAGTGAGCCTTTGAAATATTTGCCTTGCAATGAAGAAATCAGACTTTTGCTTGGTGGACTTTGCTCATGCTAATATCTTAAAAAGCATGAGACCAGAAGCCATAATTAAGCTCTAATGGTTGCTCTCTGTTCACTAATTTGAGACCTGTTATTTTATTGTTGCTGGGCTTCTAGTACCCTTATCTGTAAAATAAAGGATTTGGACTAGACTCCACTAGAATCACTTGGGAAATTTAAAAAAAAAAATTGATATCTGTATATCATCCCTTGAGATTCTGATTTAATTGGTTTGGAATGAGGCCTGGGCATCAGTATTTAAAATCTCTTTCAGGTAATGGTAATATGCAGCCAGGGTTGAGAGCCATCAGTCTAAGTGATCTGTAAGTAATTTCTGGCTGTAATATTCTAGGGTTCTATAATTCTAGAGCAATCACAAAAAAATCAGTACTTTGCAAATAGAGTAACGGAATCACAAAACAGTGGAATTGGAAGGCAACTTAAATATGATCTAGTCTAATATCTTCAATTCACCCAACAGACATGCAATAAATGATGACTGATTGATTGATTGATTGACAAATAAGGCACTGGTGACCCCCTGCCCTCATTCTGTCTCCTTTCCACCTCTGAATCATATGTGGATGTTGGTCTTGTCAGCTCCAAAGACGTGGCCATCTTTCCTATGACCTTTCCCCTTGGGCATAATGGCTAGACAAACCATTAGACAGGGGCTGTGGGGGAAATACTCAGGATTCCCTAGGGCTCCAGGGAGCACAGACTGAGGAACTCAAACTCATGAGTGTTTTCTCTCTGCTTCTGGATGGCATATCATGCTAGAAAATGAAAGACCATGTTGGGTCCTTCTCTGAGGGAGGATGACACACTTAAACTCATTTTTCAGTTTCTAATATGAGTTATGTTTCTTGTTGTTGATTCCACTCCAGCTTCCCAAAGCAAATATTTCTGGCTACAATTTCTTATCCCATTGTTGGTGAAGATTCTGTTTGTTGTGGACACAGCGTTGTTTATCTCGACCCAGCAGCAGTTCACATTTCTCTTGAAGATTAAGAGAACCAGGAAAGGCAACAAATTTATGGACCCACAGCCCAGACCAGAACCCCCAAAGAACTGATGTTACTGCTCAAGAAACATCTGCAATAGCAATTTCTTTCTGGCATTAGTAATTGCTTCTTAATGGTTAAACACATCTCACAAGGTACCAAGTGCGCAAGGCTTTACAGAACTGCTTCATTAAACCAATCAAAACTGGTCAAGTTGCATGTAATAGTAAGTGCTCAATAAACATCATTTAAATAAGTAAAAGAATGAATAGATTCATTTATTAGTATTAAAAGGACGTACAACTTGAATAAAAGAAGTATGAAACCACATAACATGACGTTCCTAAGTATTTGAGCCTTGCTAATTTCTTTTCTGCTTCTAGAGGCAAGAACCATGAAGGTCTAGATTAGAAATGTTCTCTCTTCTAATGTTATCTCCATTGTAAGTCTGAGCTAGGAATGAGAAGACATGGTAGAATGCTGATGAAGTTGATCATTTTTATGCTCTCTCTTCAACTTACTATCATATGAACTTCTAGTTCTTGGCAGAACCTGGGGCAGCCTTGAGCCATAGGTCTCTGGGGATGAGGCTCAGTCTAAGATTTCCCTGTGATTGTTTCACTCCTCTAATATCTCCCCAATTTAAATCTTGTATACCCTCTTACAGCACCTGAATTAAGCATCTTAGTGAAATTCTAGCAAATAATAATCATAACTCTCACTCTGAAAACAGTCCAGGACTGAATAAGATCTCAGACAAAGACACAGTCTTTGCTCCCCCACCCACACCCCACCTCTGCTTATGGAGACAGTTATAGTGGGGGCCTGGGGAAAGCATTAGGGAGGAGAGGCAACATACTATCAGTGCTGACCAAGAGTTCACAACAGGCAATGGAGGATCAGAGCACCTTTAGTTTACCTGTGTTTTCGAACAATTAATAACGTAACATAAGGATGAAGTGAACTAGGGGAAAATTTGTAAATATCCATGAGACTGACAAGGCCCATTTTCTCCGAAGGATGTTTGGGGCCATAAAGCAGAGAATAATTATTAAAGCTTTTAAAAATATATATAGGTATTTGTTGTTGAGGTGGGGAAAAATTTCCCCTTGACCTCTCTTGAGCTTTTGTGGCTGAACTAATAATAAAATTTACACAAGACAAATTAGCAAGAGAAAAAGAAATACTTTTTAATTCATGTGCACAGAGGTCTCATAGAAATGGGACCTAAAATGTGGTCAAAGCAGGCAGCTTTTATACTTTTTAGACAAAGAAATGATACATTTGAGAGGAATTGACAGGACAAAGAAGCTTAGGATTGGTGTGCTCAATTCGTGAAGAATCTAAACAGAGTTTGGGCTTGAGGTGGTAAATAAAATAAGTAACAAGTTTGTTTATATAGGCTTCTAAGCCCCGAATTCCCTCTCTCTGGCAGTAAGGGTGTCTTTCTACCTCCAGATGCAAGGAGTACACCTCTCATGTGCGAGATTTATTTCCTACTTTCAGGAAGACAGAAATATATATGGAGGGCTTCCCTGGTGGCACAGTGGTTGAGAGTCCATCTGCCGATACAGGGGATGCGGGTTCGTGCCCCGGTCCAGGAGGATCCCACATGCCACGGAGCGGCTGGGCCCGTGAGCCATGGCCGCTGGGCCTGCGCGTCCGGAGCCTGTGCTCCGCAACGGGAGAGGCCACAACAGTGAGAGGCCTGCGTACCGCAAAAAAAAAAAAAAAAAAAAAAAAGAAATATATATGGAAAAGAATATGAAAATATGAGGATATATCCTTTTTCATATTCTTTTCCATTACGGTTTATCACAGGATATTGAATATAGTTCCCTGTGCTATACGGCAGGACCTTGTTGTTTATCCATTCTATATATAATAGTTTGTAACTGCTAATCCCAAACTCCCAATCCATCCATCCCTGATTCTTAAGTAACTTTAATTCAAAATAATCAATATGTCATTGTGGCACATTTAGGGGCAGCCCACCCTGGTCCCCAACGCTGGTATGAACCTCCTTAACACTGTCTCTTTTTTTAAAATCACTTCAGAGAGATAGGAAATGACCAGATTCTCAGGGAATGGCCTTGGCACTTGGCTTTGTGTAAAGAAGCCTGGTGAGTGGAGAAGAGATTTTTCCTGCAGCCATAGGCCAGGAAAAGTCCCTACAGCAAGCTCCTTGGTGTTGTTCCTGGACACTTCCCTACCTTTAAGGAAAGACAGGAGGTCTGTTAGAAGTTATAACCTTGAGACCACAGTCTTACAGAACATTCATTAACAACATCTTGTCTCACAGTGTTTAACACACAGCTATGCATCAGGCTAAAGAGCAAGTTACTTCCTCCTTTATTTGGTCTGAGGCCAAGTGACCCGGAGTTAAGAATTGAGAGAGACTGAACATGAATAGAAAGTCGAGGCTTTATAAGCTTCAGATACATCTTCTGAGGGATTTTCTGAGTCTCTGAGTGACTTTTACTTCTATTTTCACTTTACCTCCAATTCACTTTTACCTCCATTTTCATCCTCACTCCCAGCTGGCAAGGGCTATGGACAGAGCATAAACCTGGAAGTTTGAGCTGTTGTTAACCAGCTGTGTGACTGGGGCAAGTTCTTGCCAGTCTCTGAGATTTCATTTCTTCTTTGTAACAAGCGGCATTTGGACTAGGTGGTCTCTAAGCTCCCTTTGAGCCCATTTTGTCCTTCATTACGTGGGAACCCAGTTCTATGAGGTGACTCTCCAGCACAAAGGCTAAGAACACATTCCCAAAAGAGCTCTGGTGTGAATTTCGCCTTCATCCTCTACACACTGGTCTCTCCCTTCATTGTGCTCTCCCATGTATCTAAATTTCAGGTTCATACCAGACTTATGTCTACCATTTATTTCCACCTTTTTTCTTCTTGATATTCATACATCTGTTCCATAGGGAATGTGGAACACACAGTGAGTTCTTGAGTATTTTGTGGACCCCCAAAATATGGCATTTATAAAGGTGCTTTTTTATTTCAGTATACATAAAGTCTATCTGTGCCAGGGAAGAAGTATGGAGGTTATACAAATGATTAGAATAGAAATAATTCACCCCAGCTCCACCCTTGGGGCTTCCTCTGTTACCTCCAATATCTTACCAGATTGGTCTAGGCCAGTCCATAGAGCAAATATCTTTCCCATGATGGCTGTTCCAAATTGTCTGCTACAAAATGTCACAAACTCCCAATAATTAGGATTGGTTTTTGAAAATCAAGTTGGTAGCTCCCTACTAGTGGCCAATGGAAGACAAATTTCCTTGGTTACCTCAAGAGTGGAAACTCGGACAAAAGATACACCTTGTATTTTGGGAAATTGAGTACTTGAAGAAAAGCTCTGCTATTTCTCTCTTCTCATTAAAAGGGAAATGGGACAACAAGAGAATCTCCTTGAAGTCAGAGATGGGAGCTTTATGCTGAGAATGGCAGAGGTACTCGCCAGCCTGGGTGCCCAGAGAAACTCAGAGAGTATTATTGTCTCCCTGCCTTAAGTTGTCTACCAGCCCTGGACAGTTAGTTACCAAGCCCAAGTCCCTATCGGGTGCCTTATCAGAAACTGACACTGGTCATCAGACCTTTACCTAACAGCTTTATCTAGACTAAGCAGAACACAATGCAAAAAAAGTTTTTCTTAACTGTTTTTGGCAATTCTTGGCTATCCTAACAGAAATAAACTGACTCTATCATTTCTAGAAATCTGGTCACAAAGGCAAAGATATCTTTTATCTCTGGTCAGACAGCACATGCCAGTGTTTCTTGGCAAAGCAAGACATGTTAGCTTGACTTAGAAGATTTGTTAATTTCCACTGCCTTGTCCTATCTTCAGCACCCAACTAACTTCATGACACTCTTACAAGTGATATCTTGCCTCTGCAGCGTCACCCCATGGGATCAGCTGGATTCTAGAGACGGCAAGAACTGGGTTTGAAACTCAGGTTATACCTGTTCTTCAGTATAGAAGGCCAGAGTGAAGTGGAAGGATGAGGGAGAGAGGACCAGGGTATACACCTTCACCTTCTGTGATGCTCAAACATGAAATGCTGTTTTTTATCTCAGGTTTTAAGTTGGGAGTATCTAAGAAGAAATTTCTGAAGATTAACCTCTGACAGCTTAGGAACTTACTGGAAATTTTTTTCATTAAGTCAAGCTTCAGACTTCTGCTCATTAATAAATAATTTCAGAAGTTGTAGTTAAAGTGCTTACATTTATAACACTATTTCAAAGATTTAAGTCTACCCTGCAAAAGGAACTATGATTTTGCTTGGCTTCTTCCAGCCTCCATCCTCTTTCACTCCCGCACTGGAGATGTGAAAAGCATTGAATTGTTCAGCATGCTCTCCTTTCCAAATTGGAGTTTTCTCACCTAAGCATCTTGGGACTTTGGACAACCCACCTCTGTGTTCTAGTAACTGGTGATTTTTTGCCTTCCCACATTTGTACTCCTCATTTCCAGGAATGGTCAGTTAGGGCAGTTCTATCCACTTGGAGAGTGTTTTGTTTTGTTTTTTTTTTTTTTTTTGGCCTTCTGAAGAGTCCTCAGGCTGTGATGAGATATTAGTAAGCAGCAAAAACAGATTACAAGAAAGCCTTCAACGTCCACAGAAAAGGACATGCATGTGTCTCCACACTTATCTGTTAAAATTTTGCATAAATTACTCATACACCCTTAACAACAACAACAGAGGTTTTTCTGAGGTGGTTTACAAACACTTTGTTCATTAGCTTTCTAGAAACTTGCTGGATTTTGTGCTTTACTGGAGTTGTATAACCCAATATATTCTCAGGGCATATGTAGATGTGTGCATGGGTGTATAACATAGGTATGAGTGATCCAGGCAGGTAAATCTTTCCCCTATATTCTTAAGTGTATGCCAAGTCATTTTCTATCTTCTCTAAAGGAGGTCACAGAGAACCATGACTAGCTCAAATGGAAGTCTCCAATTTTAGCACCCAATTCAATTTAGTCTATTCTTCTTGATCCCGTACTTAAAGGTATTATTGATGCAGCATTAAAATTAATACATATTTACAAAATGAAAGAAAAGGCCTTCAACGACCTCCTCACTAAGAGGAGAGGGGCTTTTGCTCCTGACTCTGCACAGAGCATCTTTGACCTCCTTGTTCCTCAGGCTGTACACGATGGGGTTCAGCAGAGGAGTGATGACAGTGTAGGTCATTGAGATGAGTCTGTCCTGACCCAGGAAACTCTGGGACTTAGGCTTCAGGTAAATGACGGAGGCACAGCCATAGTGGATGATGACCACTGTGAGGTGGGAGGCACAGGTGTCAAAGGCCTCCTTCTGACCCTCAGCTGAAGCAATCTTGAGGATGGTGGAGATGATGAGGACATAGGAGATGAAGACCAGGCCCATGGGTAGAACAAGGACAAAAACACTGACAACAAAGTTGATGATCTCGTTGACAGTGGTGTCTGTGCAGGCCAGCTTCAACAGGGGTCTCATGTCACAGAAGAAGTGAGAGATGACAAAGGCATCACAGAAGGGCAGGCCAAAAACAGATGTTACCTGTACAATGGCCATACCCAGGCCAATTCCCAGGGACCCAGATGCCACTGGATACAGGACTCTTTACCCATGATGACTGAATACTGTAGTGGGTTGCAGATGGCCACATAGCAATCATACCCCCTGGCTGTGAGCAGGAAGCAGTTATTGATACTAAAGGTGAGACAGAAGAAGGGCTGAGTGGCACAGCCTTGGATAGAAATGGGATAATGAGGACTCAGGAGGCTAGAAAGCATACAGGGAATGATGGCCACAGTGTAGCAGGTCTCAGAGATGGACAGCATGCTCAGGAAAAAGTACATGGGAGTATAGAGGTGATGATCCAGGTGAATAACAATCACAATAATGACATTGCCAAAGAGAGTCAGCAGGTACAAAGTTAGAAAGACAACAAAGAAACTAAGCCTGTGCTACCACCCAAAGCTGGGGAAACCTTCAAAAAGGAACTCAGTCACAGCAGTGGAGTTTGGCTTTAGCACTGAGGGAGGTCTAGGTCTAAAAGAGCTGGGCAAAGGAAAGAAATGTGTGATGATAATCATGAAAGACAGTAGGCTGGACCAAGGCCTTCAGTAAAAGGTATGTCCATCCTCTGAACAATGCCCAAGACCTCAAGGGTCATCAGTGTTCAGCTGTTGGTCACTTGCTCAGAGCCATCACCTTCCCCCCACCCTCTTCTTTATTGCTATGGAAGTGTTACCTCAGGACCCTGGGGTTGATGGCAGAGATAGATCTGAGAAGGAAAATACAGACACATCAAAAGATAGATTTGTAGAAATAATTACCTAGCCATTGAAGAGGTGAGTCCAGTCCAGGAAGAAGCCCAGCTCTATAGTTCCTCCTCCAACGCTCTTGATTTAGCCCTCTAAGCATCCAGTGAGGAACAGTGACCTAAGTGAAAGACAAATTCAACACTGTCAAAATGCACTGTCAATATCAAATGTCCCATGAAGGTCCTAGAGTGGCTTCTCCTCCCCAGAACCCTAGGTCCCAGGCTTCACTTCCCTAAACCCTGCGCTAAAGTCTACTGTGATCATGAAAGACTCAAAAAGGGAGCACTTCTAGATATGTTAAGGCCATGCAGGTATTTAGCTTATTTCCTTGAATTCTAGTCAAAGGCAGGAGAGAGGCTGGAATAAGTATGAGGATATCCCTTCAAGTTGCTTCAAGTAGGGAATGGTTTTCCTAGTGTGAGAGCAAAGATAAAGCTCATTTAATCAGTGAAGGGCCAGATGTTCTATTTTTCACTTTAATTTTACATATTCCAAGTTGTGATGAGGATAGAATTGAGCTTATTCCACGTGAGCTCAGAATTGGAGACTATACTGGAACACAGTTAACCTTGCCCTTAAACCCATATCTACTCCTGATTACCCACCATGTTTAACCATTACCTCCATTCAGGAAGCTGAGAACCATCCTAACTATCTCCCTTCCCTTTTCCATCCTGAAGACAGTGCCTCCTGAAATTCTCTCCACTCTGTTCCTTCTTCTCCATGCTTTCTACAAACACCCAACTTTCGACCACCATCATCATTCTCTATGATGACTGCAATGGTCTCCTAACTAATTCCCCTCATTTCAGTTGACCTTAGTCCAAGTCTTTCTTCCGAATGTTGTCATAACATTCTTTTTTTTCCTCTTTTTTTCCTTTAACATCTTTATTGGACTATAATTGCTTTACAATGTTGTATTAGTTTCTGCTGTATAACAAAGTGAATCAGCTATGTGCATACGTATATCCCCATATCCCCTCCCTCTTGTGTCTCCCTCCCACCCTCCTTGGTGGTTGCAAAGCACTGAGCTGATCTCCCTGTGCTATGTAGCTGCTTCCCACTAGCTATCTATTTTACATTTGGTAGTGTATATAAGTCAATGTTACTCTCTCACTTCGTCCCAGCTTCCCCTTCCCCTTCCCTGTGTCCTCAAGTCCATTCTCTACATCTGTGTCTTTATTCCTCTCTTGCCCCTAGGTTCATCAGTCAGAAAGAGAAAAACAAATACCATATGCTAACATAACATTCTTTAAAAAAAAAAGTCTGCTAATGGAGACTTCTTGCATAAATTCCTTCAGTAGCCCCTCTACATTTTAAGCATAATATTTAAACTCATTTATAAATTGAATATAGTAATACTCCACAGAGTTGCTATAAGTGTTACATGGGTTAATGTCTTTGAAGAGCTTGACATGCACTTGATACATAGGAAGCCCTTAATAAATAGTAGTTTTATTTGTACTTCTTCTTCTTCTTTTTTTTTCTTTTGGTCATGATGCACAGATCTTAGTTCCCCAACCAGGAATTGAACCTGGGCCCCTGGCAGTGAAAGTGCTGAGTCCTAACCACTGGACCACCAGGGAATTCCCTAGTACTTCTTTTTGTTTTCCACATATTGAACCAGTTTAAATATTTAAGAGACGCAGTAGGAGATAGACAGGCTTCAGTCTAGCATTCTAGGATGTGTAAAGAAGCCTGTGATTATCCTAGCCTTGATTTTATAAATTTTATCATTTCCCTTCCAATTGTTCATATGGACTTTTTCATACACTTTAAAAATCTTTCCTGAGGTACACTGATCAGAACAATGCACTGCTACATGTACTATATCAACACAGGTATGAATCAGGTAGAATAAGACTTTCATTTTTGCTTCTAATGCCCTTCTTGAAGATGCCCAACATTTTACTTCTCCCTTAGATCACAGTAGCCCACCCAGATAATATATCTAAGACTAACCTTCAGTGACTTCTAGATTGCATTTCTGGATTATAAGTAATAGTTTGGAATCCACCACTATAAAATCACAGTTTTCATTATACTCGCACACTTGATTTGAAAGTCATCCAGGTTATTCTTTTTTTTTTTTTTTTAAATGGAGTTAGCATAGTATCCTCAGTCCCTTATAGTCCTGTGACTGATTTTTTAAAAATTAATTAATTTATTTTTGGCTGTGTTGGGCCTTTGTCGCTTCATGCAGGCTTTCTCTAGTGTTAAGTGGGGGCCACTCTTCATTGTGGTGCACGGGCTTGTCATTGCAGTGGCTTCTCTTGTTGTGGAGCATGGCACTAGGCACGTGGGTTTCAGCAGTTGTGGCACACGGGCTCAGTAGCTGTGGCACACGGGCCCTAGAGTGCAGTCTCAGTAGTTGTGGTGCACGTGCTTAGTTGCTCCGCAGCATGTGGGATCTTCCCGGACCAGGGCTCAAACCTGTGTCCCCTGCAATGGTAGGCGGATCCTCAACCACTGTGCCACCAGGGAAGCCCCCATCCATGTTATTCTTATAACTTAATTCCACTTTCTTGGCCAGAAGATCTTACTCATGCTGGTAGCCTACAATATTTCTGTTTCCCTCCTCCTCCAGACCATTAATCAGCACTAACTGTTGACACCCTAAAAAACTGTACCCCAGCACCATAATGTGGGAGACTCTAACAGATAGGACAATCAGTAAAGGGGTGCAGAGTGGAATGGGGAAATGAAAAACATTGGCAGGGGTAGGATTACTCATCTAGGGTGTAGGAAGGAAACATGAGAGACCAAAAAATAGGGAGAGTACAGACAGACAGAAACCTCAAAATTCAGATAATGTCTTTGACTTTGGAATTTTTACTACCTTTTATTTCTTTCAAATAAATGACACCCCCCCCCAAAAAAAAAGTGAAACAAAGCCTTCCCCTGACTTAATCATGGATGAATATACTATTTATATTTTTCCTCCAGTGAAGAGAGCTTATTTATCTCATCATTCTCTGGTTTTCTTGTTTGTTTGTTTCCTGTGAATAGTAAAATTTTGCTTCAAATCCAAACAAAACCATTTTTTTTCAACATTTCAATGTGTTGAATAGTCACAAAGTGTAAGTACTGTGCTAATACTAGGACAACAAAGATGACCAAGGAATGGTCCTTGTCCTCACGGAGCTTAGATTTTTGAACAGCCTTTTGTAAAGGACCCAATTACAGGCCTTTGAAGTCTTATGTCCCTCTTTTCTATGTTAGTTTACAGATCCACATTTCCAAAATCATAGAATTCACAATATTCTCTAGGAGAGATCATGTTCCTCCTTGTATAGACTTATCACTGGCTGTGTGATAACTGAATATATACTATAATAAACATTCTGGCATATCAGGAAGTGAAACTCACCAAGTGGCCTATTTCTCGGGTATTCTAGAGAGCTGTATTCATTCCTGAGGGTCATACCCCCCACTCTGGGAATTTGACTGCCTGCAAATTAGATATGGATTTTTACGAATAGTTATAGAAAGTTACCCAGATCATTAACAGTGCCTTTCCTGATAATTATTATTATTTTTTTAACATTTTTATTGGGGTATAATTGCTTTACAATGGTGTGTTAGTTTCTGCTTTATAACAAAGTGAATCAGTCATACATAAACATATGTTCCCATATGTCTTCCCTCTTGTGTCTCCCTCCCTCCCACCCTCCCTATCCCACCCCTCCAGGCTGTCACAAAGCACCGAGCCAATATCCCTGTGCCATGCGGCTGCTTCCCACTAGCTATCTACCTTACTACGTTTGTTAGTGTGTATATGCCCATGACTCTCTCTCGCCCTGTCACAGCTCACCCTTCCCCCTCCCCATAACCTCAAGTCCATTCTCTAGGAGGTCTGCGTCTTTATTCCTGCTTTACCCCTAGGTTCTTCATGACATTTTTTTTCTTAAATTCCATATATATGTGTTAGCATACGGTATTTGTCTTTTTCTTTCTGACTTACTTCACTCTGTATGACAGACTCTAGGTCTATCCACCTCATTACAAATAGCTCAATTTCGTTTCTTTTTATGGCTGAGTAATATTCCATTGTATATATGTGCCACGTCTTCTTTATCCATTCATCCGATGATGGGCACTTAGGTTGTTTCCATCTCTGGGCTATTGTAAATAGAGCTGCAGTGAACATTTTGGTACATGACTGTTTTTGAAGTTTGGTTTTCTCAGGGTACATGCCCAGTAGTGGGATTGCTGGGTCATATGGTAGTTCTATTTGTAGTTTTTTAAGGAACCTCCATACTGTTCTCCATAGTGGCTGAACAAATTCACATTCCCACCAGCAGTGCAAGAGTGTTCCCTTTTCTCCACACCCTCTCCAACATTTATTGTTTCTAGATTTTTTGATGATGGCCATTCTGACTGGTGTGAGATGATATCTCATTGTAGTTTTGATTTGCATTTCTCTAATGATTAATGATGTTGAGCATTCTTTCATGTGTTTGTTGGCAGTCTGTATATCTTCTTTGGAGAAATGTCTATTTAGGTCTTCTGCCCATTTTTGGATTGGGGTGTTTGTTTTCTTGTTATTGAGCTGCATGAGCTGCTTGTAAATTTTGGAGATTAATCCTTTGTCGGTTGCTTCATTTGCAAATATTTTCTCCCATTCTGAGGGTTGTCTTTTGGTCTTGTTTATGGTTTCCTTTGTGTGCAAAAGTTTTGAAGTTTCATTAGGTCCCATTTGTTTATTTTTGTTTTTATTTCCATTACTCTAGGAGGTGGGTCAGAAAGGATCTTGCTGTGATTTACGTCATAGAGTGTTCTGTCTATGTTTTCCTCTAAGAGTTTGATAGTTTCTGGCCTTACATTTAGGTCTTTAATCCATTCTGAGCTTATTTTTGTGTATGGTGTTAGGGAGTGATCCAATCTCATACTTTTATATGTACCTGTCCAGTTTTCCCAGCACCACTTATTGAAGAGGCTGTCCTTTCTCCACTGTACATTACTGCCACCTTTATCAAAGATAAGGTGTCCATATGTGCATGGGT